GGGGCGGGGCTACTTGGCTCTGGTTGCTGTCTGGATCTTTGGACATGGTTGTCATCGCCGGGAGGTGGCAGCAAACCAGCACAGCACGGATCTACATCGAAACCGCTGCGGCGGAGATGAACGCATGGTCACACAGTCCCCAGGCACTAACCCTCATGCAGGAGGCTGCCCGCTTAGGCAAGAGGGCACTCTTACAAGCTTGAGGGGGGATCGGCGGTGTGGGGGGCTTCAGCGACTGGTCGTCGGGAGCAGGGGGGTTTTGGCCAGGGCAGGGGGTGGCCGTGTGATCGGTCGCTGGGTGCTCGCAGGGAACTGCTGTCACCCCACCTCGCCTGGTGCCTTGAATCCTTGGGAACCCTCTGGGCAGCGCATGCCTTGCTGTCAGCCCCCCACGTCGCCGCGAGTGCTGGCACAGACACTGCGGCGTCCAAGCTCTTCCGGAGTCGAGGGAGAAAAAGTGTGAAAGGCTAGGGGATTTCCCCGATTGTTCACAATTGGGCCCGACGCGCAGGAAGAGAGGTAGAAGAGGGGAGATGCAGCATTGCAGCGTCAGCATGGCATGCTGCCCGTAGCTGTCGGCTCCTCCCTCTTCCCCGCCACCTCCGTGGGGACGTTCGCGGGAGCTTGGGTCCGCAACCTGGGCTGCCCGCCCGAAAGGCTACATGGGGCAAGGCTGCGATACAAAATTGGCAGTGTTTGTATCACGCGCCCGTGCTACAGTTGTTACCTGCAGGGAGGTCAGGGATACAGCATATCCGAATATGTAGCTTCACGGTGCGGTCGCAGTGTTACACCAAGTCCATGATACGAATCCGCCGTACATCGTATCATAGCCGGGGCGGCCCCCGCAGTGTGCATTGAGCCGGTGGCATCCCCAGAGTTGTAGGTTTGTAAGCACTAAACATGTACATGCGTCTGTCATATCCAACTTGTTCCTCCTCGCGCATCATCCTCCCTCCCTCCCTCCCCCCCTCCCTCCTCCATGGCAGCTTGGGCCAACCCGGGCCACACCGGGCAACTTTGCCAGGTCGGCCGCTGCGTCAGCTAAATTCGAATTCGTGTGTATCTGAACTGTGTTTCCCTGACTAGGCTTGCCTTGCGTCTCCTGGTCCGCGGGCCTGTCGCCGCGTCTCTCGTCGTAAGGGTTCTTCTGAGGGTCTTGAATCATGTTGCGCGCTGTGCTTGCCGATTTTCCCATCCACGCCAGGCCAGGGCAGGGGGTGGCCGTGTGATCGGTCGCTGGGTGCTCGCAGGGAACTGCTGTCACCCCACCTCGCCTGGTGCCTTGAATCCTTGGGAACCCTCTGGGCAGCACGTGCCTTGCTGTCAGCCCCCCACGTCGCCGCGAGTGCTGGCACAGACACTGCGGCGTCCAAGCTCTTCCGGAGTCGAAGGAGAAAAAGTGTGAAACATTATCGTTGTTGTTGTCGTTGAATTCTCATTTCGAAGAATAAATATGGTTGATCCCCCCTCACCGGTGCATTTTGTTTCTTCTCTTTCAAGGTGTGCCCCTCGACGCTCGCACCTTGTTTTTTGACAGGGAAAGTCTTCCTGGTCAAACTATGCCCCTGGCCCCCCGGACTACAACAACAACGGCTCCCGCCTGATACTTCCTCCAAATCTACTCAGGACCCCCCCCCCTCCCGTTTGAGACTTCTTCCCAATTTATTCAGGAACGGCGCTCCCGTTTGAGACTTCCTTACAATTTAGTTCGGGTCAAACTGCATTGTTGCCCCCCCGGACCACAACAACAACGGCTCCCCCCTGAGACTCCATCCAACTTTACTCAAGACCCCCGGTCCCGCCTTAGACGTCCTCCCAATTTACTCAGGACCGGCGCTCCCGCCTGTGACTTCCTCGCAATTTCGTCAGGACCCCCCCTCCCGTCTGAGGCTTCCTCACAATTTACTAAAGAACGGCGCTCCCGCTTAAGATTTCCTTGCGCTTTAGTCTAGACCCCCGCTCCCGCCAGACACCCTCTTTTCAGGAATCGCGCTCTCGCCTGTGATTTTTCGCAGTTTATTTCATCCAGAAACCGCGCTGCGCTCAGGCACCACGCTCGCGCCAAGGACGCCGTCACACTTTACCTAGAAATCGCGCTCTCGCCCTACTCAGGCATCCCGCTTGAATGTCCCACCCGCCTGACCCGGCCGTCAGAGGATCGCCCGCCCGTCGTGGGCTGCCGCCCGAGACTTCTTTGTGGAAAGGCGCTTTCGCTCAGGACTTCTTCGAACGTTCGCACTCTTACCTTCCTGCTCCTCCATCCTCCCGGGCCGCCTCCCCCCTCCTTCCGATTCCCTCTCCCTCGCACGTGAGGTGATGTTGAATTTTCATTCCTGAAGAATGATTTCTGTTGGTCCCCCCCACCGGTGCGCATTGTTTTTTCTCAGTCAAAGTGCGCCCCTCGACGGAAGACCCGCGTTGCAGTGCAGGCGTTGTTTGGCCGACGCTCAGAGCCGTGCGAGTGTCAAGACGTTTTTGAAGCCAGGGGCCCAGTGTGACCCGTCGCCCATGCTCCAGGCCCGCGCCCTAGCTGTTGAGTAGCTCGGGTGGCGTAGCCAAGGGGGCGGGGGGGTTGCTGGGGGTGCTGCTGCCGACGGGGCGGTGGGGAGTGGGCCCCTCTTCGAATGTGACGGTCATGAGGTCCAGCATTCGGGGCCATTTTTGTTTTGTGTTCGATGTGGGTCTCGTGTGGCCATCGGTTCTCCCAACATCGATGCTCTTGGGGAAGTCTGCCCCGCGCGCCCCCCGAACGTCGCCCGCCGCAGAGCCAAGGATTTGGCTGGTCGACGAACGGCACCGGGCAAGTGAAGCTGGGCGCCCAACCCCCACAAGGCGGGAATGCCCTGTTCCACCATTGCAGCTGAGATGGCATTGGGTTCCAGCCTCGCCGCCCACATCATGCTGACGAGCACCAGAACCGCCAGCAGCTCCCTTCTCACACGCGCTGCCCATTTTTATCACACGCACACAATCGCTGCATCTGAGGACTTCCCCACGCTTCCCATCGGGTTCCAACTTCGCCCTCGACATCCCGTTGGGCAGCCCCCGAGCCCATTGGGACAGCCAGCCTGCCGCGCACGCGACGGTGCCAGCGCTGCAGCTGGTGACGTATGGTTTGGGTATCGTATCCCACGTGTGCCCGAACAATGCCAGACCTCTGACCCCAACGTTGTGGCTGGAGACGGCGGGCTCCAGTCACCTCCCATTTCTCCTTGAGCGTTGCTTCCCACTTCACGCTGAGCAGCATCGCCAGCGCCTGTCGTTACAGTATATAGATCATACGGTTCCCGCACGTTCGAATCCCAACGCTGTGATTCATGAGATCGGGCTCCAATTTGACGTCCCACGGGTCCGCTGGGCAACAACACTGTCCACTGCTATAGGTCGTTATCCTGCACGCGGTGACCACCGCGTCATAGCTAATGTAATGGGGTCCCAGTGTCGATTGCCGCATCCCACAGACAGTGCCAGAGTTCGCTGCCTCTGATTGCTGTTTCGCCTTCATTTCTTGTTGAGCAGCGCCAAAGCCAACTCCCACTATGCGGTTTCCCCGCTCGCCGTGAATGCCGCATGTCGCGCAGCAGCAACACAGCCCGCGGCCTTTGCTGGTTCCTCTCACCCACCCTAGCCCTGCAGCGTTCTGAGAAATGGCATCGGGCACCACATTCGATTCCGACACCTCGCCGAGCAGCGCCAGAGGTGTTACATGGCACCGTTTATGGCGCGACCCGTGGCGAAGCCTTTGTTAACCTGTGTTGGAAGGGCTGGCGCAAGTCATGGCCATGGCGCAAGTTTAACCGCAACTCGCGGCACACGTCATCGTCGTCCCTCCCTCGTGCCCCTTGAACCCACCCTTCCTCCGATCCCTTCGTCCTCTCTGATTGTCTTTTCCATTTCGTTTCCCTATTTAAGGTTTTCTCGAAATACGCGTGGCCAGGAAGAAATATAACCCCCCAAGCAGGGGGTACGATCGAAGACGAAGATGGCGGGTATCCAGGGTGTGGGATATGCATAGTGAATGGCACGCGGGCTGGTAGGATCGAACAGTTTTGGAATTATTGCTGTTGTTTTTGACTGTCGAGCTTCACTTCGGAAGATTACTAATTGCGGATCCCCCCTCCGGTAACCATCGCATTTGTCCTATTGAAGTGCCCCTCCTGGGACTCGCACCCACGCTCTCTCTGTTGCTTTTCTCACGGGTTTCTTGGGAATTGCGCTATCGTTCGAGACTTCCTCGCGACTTATGCAGGACCCACGCTTCAGCAACCCGCCTGCTCGACCTGGTCTCCAGGGCCTGCTTTCCCGACCCGCCGGCTATGGGTCGGCCACCCGATTTGCCCGTCAGGTTCTACCACCTGTTTTTTGCTCGTTGCCCCCATCCTGCTAATTTCTCTCGTGCTCCATCCTTCTCCCCCCCTTTCCGCCGGTCATATTTTTCTTTGTTTTGTGGGCTGCAGTACATGCGCGTGGCAGGTAAAGGATATTCCGTCCCAACAGGGTACGATCGAAGACGAAGAGGGCGGGTACCGAGGTTTTGGGATACACGTATTGGATGGCATGTGGGCAAATATGCGCGAGCAATATTAAACTGATGTTTGTTGTTGTTGCTGTTGTGTTTGCTGCTGTTGTTGCTGTTGTTGCTGTTGTTGCTGTTGTTGTGCTTGTTGTTGTCGTCGCCGTTCTTGTTGTTGTTGCTGTTGTTGTTTGTATGGCGCATGGGGGAAGGGCGTCAGGGAGGGTCCCTGCCCCCCCGAGGCAGAAGGGCACTGGCCGCTCCCCTCGCAATAGGCGTCCAGGAGGGTCCCTATCCGTGTCGTCGTTTTCGTCGTCGTCGTCGTTGTAGTCTTCTCCTGCTTCTCCCTCCTCCGTCCTCCTCCCGCTCTTTACTCCCTTCTCCCCTTCCTCTTTCTCTTCCTTTTTTTTCCCCTTTTCCTCCCCCGTGCCCGTACCCGTGCCTGACCGGGCGCAAGTGCAACATATTGGGCGTCCCGACCGCAGGCGCTCCCGCTCGTGGAGCTGCGCGGCGGCGTGCCGGTCGGCCTGTGGATGGGGCTCACCGTGCCCCAGGACCGCGCTTTCCTTGTGTTCGGGCTTTTGTCCCGGTATGTATGTATGTCTGTAAGTTTGTATGTACGTCAGTATTGTATGAGTATGTGCAGATGTGCATGTATTTCCGTATCATGTATGGTTTTTGCGTATACATATATGCATACACATGTCGATATCCACGTAAACGTATATGTATAGGTAGTTGTGTATGTATTTGTATACAGCTGGTATATGATTATGTCTGTGGGTATGTATGTGTACGTGCATATGTTTAGGAATTTGTACAGACATACGCACATATATGTTTCATATATATATATGTATATATATGCGCATGTATACGAAAGTGTATATGTATACGTATACATATATACATATATATATATGAATATGTGTATATGCATATAATGTACACGACGAGTTGAGTTCAGGAAACCTCAAGAAACCCACCCACCCCGACCCCCACACCGCTCCCACGGCGGCCAGGGGAAGGGGGAGGAAATATTAAGGACGTGCAGGCGAAGCCTGTACAAACGGGGGCGCGCATCAGGCGAAGCCTGTACGGAATAAAAGAAACAGCAAGCGTCACTCACGATTATTAAGATAAACATCACCAGTTTTCAACCGACCACGAGATGACCAAAGCCATCTCACACGTCACGTTACAGTCCTGACGTGCTGCAAACTGCCTTCTGACATATCCCTCGGCCCAGGGTTTCAAATCTTGATTGGCCGCATCCACGTCATCAAAACGTCATCAAAGGAAAATCTTTGGAACTCCCCAAGGGCGGGATTGGGATGGGCCCGAAAAACTGCAGAGGCACGCTTGCTGTTGGAGAGCATTGCTGGACCAACAGTACTCATTAATACCCGCTCGACGACTTTCGCTTCACCATAATGTACAAAACGAATTGAGTTCAGGAAACTTCAAGAAACCCACCCACCCGACCCCCACGCCGCCCCCACGGCGGCCAGGGGACGGGGGAGGAAATATTAGGGACGTGCAGGCGAAACCTGTACAAACGGGGGCGTGCATCAGGCGAAGTTTGTACGGAATAAAAGAAACAGCAGGCGCCACTCACGATTATCCAGATAATCATCACCAATTTTAACCAGACCACGAGATGACCAAAGCCATACCACATGCCACGTTACAGTCCTGACGTGCTGCAAACTGCCTTCTGACATTTCCCTCGGCCGACGGCTTCAAATCTTGATTGACCTCATCCACTTCGCCAGAAGAAATCTGAACTCCCAGCTCTATTCTGGGAATGGGCTATGCGATGATTCCGAACCCTGGTGTCCGACCTGCGATGTTATATGGCTTTGTATTGACCTCAGAGGCAAGCCCCGCTAGCGTACCACAGCCAATCTATCTGAGCATGGGCCCATCTGCCGAGACGAAACCAAAAGGGTGAGCGAGTGGTGGGCAGCTGGAGCACCTCGCGCGCGGTGAGCGGTGACCTGAGCACTGAGGCATCGACCGCCGCTTCGACCGCATCCTTGACTCTGGGCGTGGATGCGTTCCAGCTCACCCCCCCGGATCGGGACCAGTCAAGGCCCATAGTGGATTGGCCCACTGGAGTTCAAACCCTGAACGAGCGAAATAAGAGCGTACTGCCAGAACTTCCTCCTCGACCAGGGCACCTCCCAGTCCCGGATGAAGAAGCTCTCCGTAAAATTGCACTGAGAGGAGAGCCGCGCCGCCACTAGCGCCCGGAGCGACACAGCATTGATTGATCCCCACAATTCGACTGCCAAGCCATCTGGGACGACCGTCAAGCCGCGCTCGAGCTCTTTCATCATACTAGGGCGAGAGCGTGCCCCGATGTCCACGACAAAACGACCGCCTGTCACGTTCAGGCGGCACCCCAGTAGATCAAAACCTGACCATGTTTCGTCAACGAACGTAGCTGGGTCCCTTGCAACTGCCAGCGCAACTCCACTCGCGGCCATGGTGAGATTCCTGGCCGCGAGTGCCGCAGCCCCCCATGCTCCTGCCACATCCTCCACCAAGGGCGCAGGGTCTGGGCGTAGGACTGCAGTCCTCCCGGGATCGCGTGTCGCGCTGCCTCTGGAGGGGGCGCTGCGAGCACCGCGGGCGGCGGCGACGCCCCAGGGCTCTTGGCCTTGGGCGGCGCGAGCACAAGCGAGACCGCCCCTGGGGAAACCGCCCTGGGCGCCGCCCCCGATGGAGGAGCACTTGAACACTGAATCCAGCTGGTGGGCGCCCCGGGCGCGCTCGGCAGGGGTGGCGCGTTCTCCGCCCATGCCGACTCGGGGCCCTTGACCCAGCCCCCGGGGGTCTTGTCCTTCACGTAGCCCTTGGGGGCCATGCGCTGGTAATTGACGCGGCCCCCAGATGGGCGCTGGGAAGTTCTGGCGCCAGCCCCACTTGAGCCAGCGCAGCTGTTGCGCGAAGCTCTTCGTGTTTGGCTGGGTGAGGATCTGGCTCGCACCGACGATGTCGAGATAAATGCGCAAACTCCCATCCGACCCCCCCCCCCCCCCCCCTCGTTCCCGAACTTCTTCAAGCGAGAGCCCTTCGGCCCTCGAGTCGCTGGCCCATCCTGCTCCGGGGCCACGGGCCCCCCGCCCCATGGATAATCCAAGCGAGCCCTCGGCGTCCTTGGGGGCCCTGCGGTGCCGAGCCAAGCTGTAGGGGGAGAGCGGGGTCCCAGCCGGGGCGGCCTTCGTGATGTCCTCTCGCGCCTCCATGATGTCCCGGCCCTTCTGAAATATACGAGCCACCTGGGGCCTCTTGAGCTTCGCCCCCGTCCGAGCCCCGAGAGCAGATTATGCCGCGGCGAGGTTGATGTTCTCGCCCAGCTCGCGAGGGAAGATGAGATCTTCAGGTAGCATTCCCAGGAGCTCCGAGGGGCGCAAACCCGCGCGGCACTGCGCGATGAGAGCAAGGCCCAAACGGGGGCGCCCCATGGAAGCCATGTGGGCCCCGAGGAGCTTGCCGGACAACTTCCCGAGAGGCACCGCGTGCTTGCGTCCTACATTTCTTTCCCATCCAGCAATCGCTGCCTTGCCCCACAGAAGTTTACCTCGCATCCGAGGAAAGAAGAACTCCACCGACGCAACCGTATTCACGAAATTAGCTGGAGTGAGGTGCACAATCTGATCATTTTTGAACTCAACTAAAAGAGCGCCCCACTCGTCAGCACCGCTGGGACGTGGGCCGCGCTGCCGGGCCCAAGTCGAGAACCTGAGCCCAGCGCTGCGATAAACTTCTCAAGTCTTCTCGGTCATCCGAGCTCGCCGGTCAGGGTCGACTCGGCGAGGTCCTGCGCGCCGAGCGCACCATGCCACGCCGCTTCCTTCTAGACAACTCACCCGCTGTCTGGTGTGCGGTGTCCACCCAGGGTAGGTATAGTTTGATGCCCGTCGCCACTGAGAGTGCACTTATCTTCCTCAGCAGGTAGTTCAGATGTGGGGCCGACGACCGCCCCTTCGCCGTTGCTGAGGCCAACGGCTCATTGTCCTCCATGTTGCAGATGGCGTGGTCATGAGCTGCTGGGGGCAGAGAGAGGGCCTGGCATAACCTGACCACGGCACGGCCCTCGCCCAGAATGACGTGATCCGGGACTCGCCACCTGCCTGTATCCAGCTCGTGCCACATCTCCAGTGGAATCTGCAACATTGTACGCGGGGCGCGGGGAACTGGAATGCGCCCTCGTAGCTCAAGGTCGGCACGGATCAGGTGCAGGACCGTGCCGTCCATCCTCGACACTGTGTGTCCAGGCCTCGTTCCTGCTCCTATTACCTCCTCCAATTCCCCAATGGTGACGGGCGTGCCGACGATGCCGCATCCGCCGCGGTCGGTCCGATTGGCCCCCTTTGCGTCCGACGCGAACAGGGGCGGGGCCGGGGGCAGACCCAGCACACAGGTCATCACCGGCATCAGGCCCCTCACGACGCGCACCTCGCGGCGGACCGAGGCCCACCAGCGCGCGACTTGCCCCTGTCTCTTCTCCAGCAGGTCGAAGACAGCGGCAGGGCGGCCACGAGCTCGCGCCTCAGCAGCGCCCCCCGCAGCCGCACGCCCACCAGGGCCCTGAGCAACTCCACGTCTACCCAGGGCGTCTCCATGATCCACGTCAGCGCCCCCCCCAAGTAGCTGGCCCTGGTACTCGCCAGCCTCAGGCGAGGCGGACTGCTCTGCAACTCGTAGCCCGCGATCTTGGAGCCCTTCTCGATCTTCTCGCGCCCGTTGACAACGAACCCTGCCTGCTCCCACGCGTCGGCGACCTTCTGCGCCATCTACTCGCTCACCTTGTCTGCCGATCCTCCTCTGGGACACGCTGCGGCTCATCCCGCCGCCTGCGCGCGCGCAGATCGCCTGAAAGCCAGGGCGTAGCCTCACGCAGCCACCCTGGCGATAGAGCTCATTCAACACAAAGAGGCCCTCCTTCTCCTTCTCGTACCTCCACGGTGTGCGACGAGGCTTCTCACGCCCCGTCCTCAGCCACCAACCTGGCCCCCGGCCCGCGGTCAGCATCCGCGGCGCCGTCTTGACCGCGCTCAGGGCGGTCGTGCGACACAGGCCCGGAGGGTCGGCCTGTAGTCTGCGCGACCTGAATATGCCGCGCCCATCCTTCCCGTAGGCCTTCTCGCGACGGTGTCTGCCGTCGCGCATCAGCGCCTGCTCGTCTACGCCGCCCAGGTTCGAGGCCAGGGTGGTGGGCTTCTTCGACGACCCGCCATGCATGCGCTGGTCGATCCTGGCGGCCCGCGCGCCGCGTCTCTCCAGCATGCCTTTCGCCGCCTCCAGGCCCCGGATGCCTGGGCGGGCCCCCCCCCCCCGGATCCGTCGGGCGCTCGAGCAGGCACCCTCCCCCGTGCTGCCCCCCCACATCGCGCAAGGCCAGGTGATTGAACAGTAGGGCGTTCGCCTCCGTGACTCTCTCGCGCCCCTGCTTCGCCAGGTCACTCCTGCCCGAGGGCTCCGAGCGGAAGCGAATGGGGCGTGGGCCGCCTCCATGAAAGCGAGCCCTGCTCCGCGTTGCGCA